TATGTGGGTTTGTTGTATATATAGATTTCACCAACATTAAAGATGCAGAGAACAAAAATACCATATATCTAACATGTTGTAATACTTTAAGGAGTCACCAGCAGAGAATTTACAACAATACTTGTAAATTTTGTGTTAAATTTTCATGGATATTACTAGAAACATAAATTTCATGAAAATTCTGTAATGAAATATAATTAATTATTCGTTATTTATTTAATATAATAATCAACACCAATTAATTAATTATTAGTTAACATGTAGAATTCTCTCTAAATTCTAATTATACATGTAATTGCGTGTATATTAATAAAGGAATTAAATTAACAGAAATTATATAATCTAATACATTACTATTAGATTCTCCTTAAATTCAACTATGGTTAAAAATATTTTATAATAACTGTAGCTTAATATGTAATTATTAAGTATTAGATATTTATTAATTAATTTTTTTTCACGTGAAAAAAATTAAAGGAATAACTTTTTGTAAATTTTTTTTTTAAATTTAGAATTACACTAATATAATCATGCCTAAAACAGAAAAAAAATATACATATTTATATATATATCGTTATATCTTAAATTCAAATTCTGATATAAAAAATTAAAAGTAATAACCATTTAATTATAAAGAAATTTATTTTAAAGTTACCTTAATTTAACCTCTAATTATAACTTAACTTTATGTTAATTTCAGTCATTAATCAATGGGCGTCCGATAGTATGATAGTCTTCCAGTGGGACCCACTGAATATATATATGTATATGCACATCGGTTGGTTATGAGGAGAAGGGTATTTTGGGGCTTTTCTAAAATATAGGAAGGAGAGTCAGGAAGGAAATGACATAAATACCCTCAAACTTTGAACCCTAGGTCGGTGCCCCTTTTGCCTCTTCCCTTTCTTTACCCTTCTCTTTTCAAGCTTTTCCCTTTAACACCCTCCACCCCGCCAAGCTCTTAACTTAATCCTCATCTTCTCTCTCTCTCCTTATTCAAATTTCTCAACCCCTGAACAGTAATGCTCTTACCTCTGATCACCCACTTGATCAAACTTTTTATGGGTCTTCTTTTGATGTTCGTTTAATCAATTTCTTATCGCCGGTTTTTCCTGTTCCTTTTTCTTTTTTTGTTTTTAGTTTGTTAACTCTCTGTTTTTGATGAGTTTCATTTTTTCTGCAGGTTGGGTTGTTGAATTCCTGAATGAGTCTCGTTTTAACGTGAGTTCTATTATTATTATTTTTTTTTTTGGGAATTTGTTATCGTTTTCGTGTTTATTATGGACAAACTCGTTTTTGTTTGGTTGCTGAGAAAAAGAGAAGGAAAACGCAAGAAGAAAATAAGTGTGTCCGACACCCATGTTGCATGTTTTGTTCTTTTATTCCTTAAAAAAAGTTGTGAAAGAAACTAATGTTGCGAAATTTAGTGGCATTGGGCTTCGGTCGAGAGTTCCGGGTTGTTTTTTTCTCGGCCGTTGCGCTCTGTTTGGTTGCTGAGAAAACTGAGGTTGACGAAACGAGGATATACTTAAATGACAAGAAACTGCAATGTAACTAAGGTTGTGTTTTGAATTAGTGTAATTAAACTCTCACTCATATGATTAACAACAACTAACGGGAAAATAGAAACAGGAACCAAAACAAAAAGTGAGATCTTTAGGACTCAAAGTTTGGATAGCTGTAATTAGGGGTTATAAGTGTTGATATGTATCATGTTTATTTATTTGTCTTTTATGATGGGAAAATCTGTTCTATGATTTTCACTTGCCTGCTCTTGTTTTTCTTATGTTTATTTGTTATTTTTTTGAAAGCTTGGTTGCTTGGAATCCAAGCATCAAAAGAAAACTGGGGCATATTGGATTCATTTTTCTCCTGATTTTTCACTGAATGGAATGAAGATTTGGATAATGGTATAGTTTAGTGTAGTGTTTTTATGTTCTCCTACTATTACAAGCTTGTCTGTATTGTGTATTTTCAGTTCTTAGAGGAAAATGAAGATGTTGATTCACATATATTTTATCACATTAACAGGTCTTCTTGATGCATACACATTGTGGGTGGAGGTCTCTTCTGGATAGTACTGGAAATTGTGGTAACTGTGATTGATTGTTTGAATAGTTATGGCAAATTCAAAGTTGCCAGTCGAGCAAAATTTGGATTCATCATTAGTGGCAGATGGGTATGAGGGGATTGGACATGATCACAATTTGGCTATGGATTCGAGTCATAATTCAGGTTCGGGTGACTTGCATATGGGTACTCACGGTAACCCCAACTTGGGTTGGGAACATGCAAATGGTGATGGACTAGAGCTTGGTTATACCAAGGAGAATCACATAGCTCCTCAAAATCCATACATTCATCAGGTTAAAGATGATGGAGAATATTTAGATAGAGTTGATAATCCTGCTGGTGTTAACAACCTTAATGGCGATATTCAGGCCTATGATAATCAACTCGCTCTTAGTCATCACT